TATCCTGATAGCATGAACTCATACTAATGAAAGTATAACCTTTTCACCACCAGACTTTCTCGCCAAAATTTGTCTACACTTTTTTTTTTTTTTCTGGAAATGAACCACTAATTTTTTAAACAGACAAAATTTTAGTCAATTTTCATTTTTTTTACTCAATTTTTGTCCCAATCTTCTGTGATAAAAAGAGGGATCTCTGGTGGTGAAAAGAAAATGACAGATTATCTTCGCATAGGCTCAAGCCTCATTAAAACAAGCAGCCTATCGGCTGAGATAGCTCCGCTGTTAGCAATGCACATTTCAATTAAAGAACTGAAGACATCATTAGAAAATGAACAATATGAATAGTATCAAAGCAATCGGACTTACAGTTTTTAACAAGAAGTCGAAAATATCACTTTTTACCAAAAATTACAAAAATATTCACCAAAATAAATAGAGAATTGAAGATATCATCACAAAACAAACAAATCTGAGAGAGGTCCACATGTAGTACCTATATATGTAATATCAAAGCAATCGGACTTACAGTTTTCAACAAGAAGTCGAAAATATCACTTTTTACCAAAAATTACAAAAATATTTACCAAAATTAGAGAATTGAAAATATCATCACAAAATGAACAAATCTGAGAGAGGTCCACATGTAGTACCTATATATGTAATATCAAAGAAATCGGACTTGCGGTTTTTAACAAGAAGTCGAAAATATCACTTTTTACCAAAAATGACAAAAATATTCACCAAAATTAGAGAATTGATGATATCATCACGAAATGAACAAATCTGAGAGAGGTCCACATGTAGTACCTATATATGTATTATCAAATCAATTGGACTTGCGGTTTTTAACAAGAAGTCGAAAATATCACTTTTTACCAAAAATGGCAAAAATATTCACCAAAATTAGAGAATTGAAGATATCAACATGAAATGAACAAACCTAAGAGAGGTCTACCCAAGGTACATATACACCAAGTATCAAAGCATTCAGGCTTGTAGTTTTCAAGAAGTCGAAAAAGTAAAACATTGACACGGACGACGACGACGGACAATCACTTATATGATAAGCTCCGCTCGACAAAGTCGACAGCGGAGCTAAACATCATTTACCATCAGAGCATCTTGTTAAATGTTTCTAATTTCAAATTTCACTTACTCATCAATTAATTTAATAGAGAAACAAAATAATCAACAGCTCAAATAAAACATTCTATGAATAACAAATTCTGCCACAGGGATACAGCAAAGTAATTAAATCTGGTTTAGTAAGATCAGCTTTCATAAATAGCCAGAACCCTGCCTTGAGGGAGGCAAACAACGACTAATTGCTATCACTGGATTACCCATAGTGCTTTGCGAACATTATATAAACCAACCACTGTGAATTATGGGTGATATTGTGATTGGCGTGCCATATATAGTGCTTTTTAACATATTGTCGGCTGACACTGTTTTCCCATCATACGGCTATCCGTGCAGCCTTTCAACTGGCAAAGTGTTAATTATTCGAGACACTGTTCTCCCTAAAGCGTTTAGGAGCAGTAGGACTGCAACTCTAAGATGTACAATGTCCACTAATCTAACCTATTATTGTCAATGTGTTGTATACATTTAATATTTCCGTTGTTTTTTGGTTAAAACATTAAACTATACAAAAAAGTATCACAGACACTTGCCAGCTGACTAAGAGTGTTGTTTAGGTTGCGCGCTCGAAAGGTGAAAGGTCACATCTGCATGGTGACATACAATGACAGAATTCATCAATAATCACTAAACTCAAGATTGGCAAACCAAGAACACTTGAAAGTGATGATGAAATTTGTAAATATGGTACCAAAGTGGCAGTACCAGAGAGGTCAGATGACAACCTTCCTCCATGATAATTGATGACTAAACATAGTTTATCAGTAAATCAACGAGACGTTCCATAATCAGCTGTTACATTTAGTATTCCTTACTGATCAAGACAGTTGGGATGTATAGAAAATATAATTAAAGGATAACTGCCAGACTGCGATGGATAGTCTCCTCATGTTTTTCACTGTTGACATGCGGTATGCAAATTACCGGTGCGTGCAAGAAGGGAGTAGTAAAACAAAAGGGAGGGGGTATTAATAATTCATTCATAGTAATGACTTTTAGATGCTCTAATAGAAGCCGCATCCCCTCTGTTGTAGTGTAACATTTTAATAAAAGCCATGGTTTCTAATACAGATTTCACAGTAGCACTTATATCCAAGTAATATTTTATTAATTTGTTCTTTCCCCATGTACCCCATTACCCACCAACATGGCCGAACATTCCAAAAAACATTCACATACAATAACCTTATTATTATACATCTTTTCCTTCCAAGGATACATCATGGGAATGTCGAAATGCAAAAAGTTTAGAACAGAATCAGCGAACTTCTTTGTGTGGAGTCCGGTCAAACCCTGATGGCAACCATGTTTGTTTTTATTATTAGAGGACGCTTACGCACGTAATCATTCCATATTTGGAATTTGCATTTTCTTACATGGTAGGATGAAAATACCCTGTAAAATACCGCAAAATTACGACACGCTGTAACTTATGACGTTACGATAACAGATGTATAATAATATCATATAATAGAATGCAGATTCCAATTAGATAACAACCAGGGTAGACATTTGAAAGGATGTTTTCTGATCCAAGAAATCAAATTAATGTGATTGGAATTCTCAATGACAGGTATACTGAAGGTGAATGAACTCAAGTAAAAAATACACATCAGTCTAGCAGGGCAGTCTCTGGTGATTCAAAATGTTAAATATTTTAAATTCCCAATACGCTATTCTTTGGTAAATTGTACTACTGTGAAATACTTAATTTTCGCTTGTAATTTATTTTTGCTATTTTCCTGAATGGATGATAAAATCCAGCCAATATAACTCATCAACTCATCAAAAATCAGTGAAATTAAACTCAATACAAAACACCCAAAAAATCTTTTCAGCAAAAATTGATTCCAGCTAAAATAAAGTATTTCACAGTATGCTAAGTTTACCAGCTACGAGAAAACACGACTCAGAATGACCTATCAACTGATGTACATTTACCTGCTGATAGAGGGCGCTATAATGTCAGATTTGTATTTTTCCAACTCTCAACCAACTCTATTTTTTCCCGCCAAAATTATTGGTAAACTGTTGTCTATTTTTAAGTATTTTGTGACAATTCTTTACCATTTTGCACCAAATGGAGATCATTTTCATTGGGTACAGATGAAGATCAAAATTTGTCAAAAAAATGGTGATGAAATTATACTCGCTGTTTAACACACGCTAAAAACACAAAGGCTCATGGATGCTTGTTTGTAAACAATGACGCGCTATGGCCATCTGACGCATGCGCAGATGACGACTCCCCCCCCCCCCCCCGCTTTAACCTCACTAGATGAAAATAGGAACAGACATTGAATCACTCAAGTTTCTGCAATCAAACCATCTCTCTGAACCAATCAGCAAATGCCCATATTAGGACATACAATCACGACACAAAATTAAATCTAGCCAATCACTTACCCTTCTTTTTAACAGTAAGTCCACGTGTTGTCGCTCGAGGCGATCGCTGATCAACAGGAGAATCCACCTAAAAGCAAATCAGAATAAAAACTATTAATGGAATGAAAATAATTCAACAGAAAGGTAAATTTGAAAAGATAATCTTAAACTAATAAATAAAAAATAAGTTTGCAATTCTAGTAGACACAGGGTTCTCCCCCAGGGCAATTTATAGTAGGGGTTCCCAACTCTTATTTTGATTAAACAATGAAGCCATTTTAGCACGACATTGAATACAATAGATGCAATTAACATATTTTTTGGAAACCAGACAAGCTATGAAAAAGATTAACGCCAAGTCCTTTTTGTTTTCTTTTTTTAATGTCTTCACCAATTGGTAAAAGTACTGTAAAATACTTTATTTTCACTTGGGATCAATTTTTCGCTATTTTGGCTGCTCGAATGATTCAATGAAAATAAATTTCGGTGAATTTACTCTTTTTCCTATATTTTGCATTCAACCCGTCAAAAATCAGTGAAAATAAATTCCATACAAAACACCCAAAAAGTCTTTTCCGCAAAAATTAATTCCAGCTAAAATAAAATATTTAACAGTAACGCCCAAATAATTCTGTATACTTTCTATAGTACATTTGTCTTTATTATGTTAATGAAAACAGTTTCTTGCTATCTACTGATCAATTATGAATTATAACTATCGCATACTAAAATCCAGAGAGTGTTCAGATCATAATATCAATGAAAACAAAACCATCTAGGACAGTCAAAATAAATATTTGTTGTCACGGTTTTTTTAAATTTGTAATCTTGGTAATCTGATAAAAAAATTATTGACCGGAAATGAACAAATAAAACATTTCTATCTATTAAATTATTGGTTCGTAATAAAATAAATATATTGAAGGTTATGAAAGAACAGGAAGGAAAAATTAAATAATTTAATTAAAATAATTAAGCCGCGTCTTACGATCGTTTCGAATGCTACCATGAAGTTTTATGTAATCTTATTACTGTAAACATTTTTTAATTTCAGGAGAGACATCAATTTCAGTTGCCATAAATCTTGATTTTTCTAGCACAGAACATTTCATTGTTGTTTTAATGTGAACAAAACCATACTGTTCATCACTGTGATATAAAGATGGAGACTTAATGCAGTGAATATCACAAAATATTATTATTGTGACAAAATACTAATTTATCAAAGCACAAATTTTTGGCAGCGAAAATTTATAAGAATCTCGTATTTGAAAATGTATATGTAAGAGATGAACACTTTACGTACTGAACTTTAATGACAAGCATATTATAGTATTTTGGTAAAAAACAAATTTTGAATGTTTTTAGATAATTTTGGATCAAATTTCCCAGAAATTATGAAGATTAATTTTGTAAATAGTGACAAAAGTTGATGTATTTGGAATATTTTGCATATTAAAAACAAGCAGCCGGTCGGCTGAAATATCTCCGCTGTCAGCAATGCACATTTCAAATAGAGAACAAAAGATATCATTAGAAAATGACCAATATGTATAGTATCAAAGCAATGGTACTTGCTGTTTTCAACAAGAATTCAAAAATATCACTTTTCACCAAAAATAATCATCAAAATTAGAGAATTAAAGATATCATCACAAAATGAACAAATCTCAGAGAGGTCCACATGTACTGTAAAATCTGTATTAGAAGCCGCGGCTTCTATTAAAATGGTACAATGCAACAGAGGGGATGCGGCTTCTATTAGAGCATCTACACATATGAGAAATGATGAATTTTTGGTTCTCAATTATTCAAATAGAATGGATGCGACTTCTATTAGGGATGCGGCTTCTAATACAGATTTTACGGTAGTACCTATATATGTAATATCAAAGCAATTGGACTTGTGGTTTTTAACAAGAAGTCGAAAATATCACTTTTTTCTGAAAATGACAAAAATATTCACCAAAATTAGAGAATTAAAGATATCATTACAAAATGAACAAATCTGAGAGAAGTCCACATGGAGTACCTATATATGTAATATCAAAGCAATTGGACTTGCGTTTTTTAACAAGAAGTCGAAAATGTCACTTTTTACCAAAAATGACAAAAATATTCACCAAAATTAGAGAATTGAAGATATCAACATGAAATGAACAAACCTAAGAGAGGTCTACCCAAGGTACATATACACCAAGTATCAAAGCATTCAGGCTTGTAGTTTTCAAGAAGAAGTCGAAAAAGTAAAACATTGACACGGACGACGACGATGGACAATCACTCATATGACAAGCTCCGCTCAACAAAGTCGACAGCGGAGCTTAAAATATGACCTCGAAAGCAGTACACAGCAACAATACCAACTGAAGATAACAGACCTTCTCACCACACAGTCATTGAGCAACTAAAAGTTAATTATTTATGCTTTTAAAAAAAATTATTTCACCCAGTCCAGAGTTCCAAGTAATCCATACGCATATAATTCCATTGGGGCCGAGAATCCAATGTCGCACAGAAAGCAACCTGACTCCATTCAGAGTGGAAACCACCTAAGTACCACTCAGGAAGTATAATTGGAAATGTCCATTTTGTCTGCTTAATATAGCTGCTGAATATATGACTTTTTGCTTCAAATACTTTTTTTGATGAATTACAATAATAATAGACTTTATTTAACCTTGATAATCTCTTAGGCATGAGTCGAGCAATAATAAATTTAATTTCAGAAAAAAATTGACACACAAATAAACTTGTACAAGTCATTAAAACGTAAGAATGCCTTAAGGTTATACATGGCAAAACTGTACGAATTTTCACATAATATTTTATTGTGTGAAGCATTCCAAATTTAAGTACCTTGATGTTACAAACAATTTTCTTTTATAGAAGACTTTATTACTCTATTATGAAAATAATTTACAGAAATAAAAGTATTTAAATAATCTGGAGCTAAGCCTGGTTGCACTTTAAATACTGTGGAATACTTTATTTTCGCTGGAATTAATTTTCGCTGAAAAGGCTTTTTGGACATTTTGTATGGAATTTATTTTCATT